TCCAAATATTTGCTTTTTGGGACATTTTGAAGAATTTTTTTAACAATATCTTTGGTTAAAAACCATCATCAAAGCCTTCCTAAAAATATTATAGTTCCCTAACCCAACCAGGGGCGGCTCATAACTAAAATATTCGAGGCTTATAATGACAGAATATAGATATCAGTACATATTTAGGTGAAATACTTTCAGTTTTTATATTATACCTTTCTCAAACACTGCTACGACTCGACTTCAACTGACTATTCATAGCTGCAAAAGCATATTTATATAATTGACGAAGGCGCTCCCGAAAGATCCACTAAATTCTTCAACTGTCCATTTTCTATTGTAACGCTCTCACCATTTACTCGAATTTACTTCTAGTACATTCCCGAAGGAATGATTCATACCGACTACCTGTGAGCATAGGCGTCTCTATAGTTGGGTAAAGAGGTATATACCCTTCATCAAATAATCCTGGTTTTACGGAAAAGAGCCAAACAAGGCAAATATACCCAAAAGATAAGAGATTAGTCAGAAATGGCTCACATTCCACTATCGTTTTATGACTACACTAAATTATAAAAAATATCCGATATATAATAGTTTCATTCATATAATACTAATCAACTGCATTTCAAAAAAATACTGCCATCCTATAATGATTGCCATTTGTAAACCCTGCTCGTCCTTACTTTTCGATAAGCATATATAATTGTCATTCAATTTATTTAAATTTAGCCTAGTTTTCTCTGCCTACTGCTACTTTACTATTAGATAACGCTTGTTTGATCTTTCATTCTGTACATGGCGCACCATGATCTTGCAACTTAATGGTGTTCAAAATGATAAACAATCGAATCGCACGTGCGTGGATGGGTGCGCTTTACGTAATGGTATTCCGTGTCATTGTCATTACCCTGGCATTACTGGGACACGTTGGATATAGTCTGGCGGAAAAATGAACAAACACGGTAAATAATCGAACAAATAGATTGTTCTAAAGTTGCTAAACGAAAATTGATTATAAAAATAAAAGGAACATAATAACCATTGGTACCTCAAGTTTCGGTGTTCAGCCCAACACTGTTCATCCTTTCCATTAATGATGTTTGCAAAATAATTCAACCGGGGTTATGCTCTTTACGCTGACGATATGTTCATCTTTTGCCACGAAAGGAATACCATCACTACAGCCTACATAATTAATAATAATAATAATAATAATAATACTCTCCCTAATTCACCCCCTTACGAGTGAATTTCAACCCCTGAAGTCGACTGAACGACTTGTGTAGGGGAAGGGACGGCTATTATTATTATTTGCCGTGGCGCTCCGGGGCGACTTAAAGATGATTGATGGTGCCATTTGACTTACAGGTGAGGAAAACCCGGAAAACCTCACCCACCATCATCGAGACGGTAATGTACGGCGAATTTTTTTAATCTGCATGTCATTTCAACAGAAATTGAATTTCTATTAATACGCCACACATCAAATCCTAAACCGAACCATGCAATTTAATTAAAAATCCACATGGTCTGGTCTGGGATTCGAAACCCAGCAGTCTCAGACTCATAAACTTGCCTATAAATGAATATAAGCGCGATAGACCGCTACACCACCGTCCCGATAATTGAAAAAACACTTGACGCTCTTTACAACAGGTTTCAACTTCTCAGTTACAAAGTTAAAAATCATTAAGTTCTTCAGAAGAAGAAATAATCAATTTACTCCAAATATCACATTTCCCACCGTCGACCAAAATGTAATTCTAGGGATAGTATTCGACAAGAAGATCAGCTGGAAAGATCACAATAAACAGATTAAAGACAACTGTCTAGGTAGGCTCAATATCCTTGAAAGCCTATCACACCGCCAATGGGGAGCTAAAGAACAAATATTGCTACGGTAGCATTCTCTACATGTCAGCTACTGAAACAGACTTAAGACTTCTCAACACCGTACAAAATGCAGTTCTACGTATTTGCTTGGGAGCAACCCGGGCAAACCCAGTAAAAAAGCATATGCTGCGAAGCTAATGAATCTCCACTCGGGCTAAGAAGACAACAACTTCTCTTGAGCTTAAGCAAATACTCCAAACATGACACCTCCAACGATATCCTGACACAAAACTTCCTGGATATTATGTATAACTCCAAAGATAAAGTACTATATACCGACGCCTCTAAAAACAGTAATGCAGTATAGGATGCTTAGTTAATCTTTCTCAAACAACTATCTTCCATCTTTCCCCAGTGTTCACACAGGAGAATTATTTGCTATACTTCAATCTTTCATTTCTGTAACCGCAACTAACAAAAACGTTTCAAAATGCAAGGATTCTCTCGCCGCGATCAAATCCATTCAAAACATATACAGCTCTCATCCCCCCTTACAAGCTGTACATGAACGTTATCAACAGCTCTCCTCTGAATGACCAACCGTAACTCTATTGTGGGTTCGCTCACGAATTGGCAGATTGTGCAGCAAAAGAAGCATCAACATCCAATCTTCCAATCGAAGGAGTTCAGCTGTGTAACGATCTAAAACACTTCTTTAAATGTAGGACCTATTTGTCATGTCAAGAACACTAGACCAGAATACCTTCGAAGTACATGAAATACGCCAATCTGCCAAGCAGTTCCACCTTCCTTCATTACCAAGAAGCTACAAACTATTCAAAGACTACGAATTGGACACACAAATGCCACTCACAGCCACTTAATGACTTCAGAACCTCCCCTTTTATGTCATCACTGTAACAACACCTTATCTGTCAAGCACCTTCTCGTTGAATGTCAGCGGTACTTAAAAGAAGACTGTAATAATTAGTGGCCAATTGTGTTCTTAAAAAAATAACAAAAACAGAGATATTCACAGTCAAACATAGAGCGTTTCATAAGGTCTACTAGGACTAATATAATGTTTTTTGTGTTTCATGAAAGAAGATGATTTATGTAAATTAATTCAATGAAAGAAGGTTTAAGTATCAATTGATTGAATGGTTTGGTATCCAGTGCTGGGCTAGCCTTATGAATAAAGTAATATGTTGGATACATTTCCAACATCTTGATTTAAGTAAGTGTCTACGAAGAAATTTTATAAAACGTTCGTATTGAATAAAATCCACCGTCCGTAAATATGTAATTGTTAAAATCCTTTAACTACTAATTATTATCTTATTACACAACTTCAAATCAAAGGTTTTACTATAATTTATTGCCTGGTATTCTTCTGTTTAACTGTAAATCGAAACCCACATTAACAATATAAATACTCTAGCGCAACTTTACCTTAAAACAATCGCCTACAAATACACGTTTTTTAATAAAAAATTACTTTTATCTTTCATTCTTTATAATGGGAGCAATTAAGATCATCTTTTTTCCATATACTCCCATTTCCCATCAAGTTCATGCATACGAGCGGCATGAATCGTACATTACATTAGAATTAAGTCGTTATCGCGATCTTGGGAGATAATAAACCATAGAATGGGGAACAAAGCGCCGCGAACCGTGCTAGAAAACGTTCGTACGAAAACTAATCGTTTTGTGTCTGGTTGGATTGCACAAACTTGAATGCGTTATTACGCTAAAATTGCGTCTAATGGTAATTCTAATAGCTCCAGTTAATTGGTATGTTACAAAAAAGATTCTGGCGAATCAAATTTCAAAATTGGAAACATTTATTCAATATTAAAAGGACAGTTGTATCGCTTATGGAGAGTATTCGGTAAGATGCGCAGTGAAGAAATCATTTCAAGGATGATTTTTATACAATGAACTTAAAAACGTCTGTTTTTATTTTTCACCAGGCAATCAAAGGTCTAATTGCAGTTTTGTAAATTGTGTGTACAGATGCCTTTAGTAAACATTTTGAGGTTAGTAATAGAAAAAAATATTAATAAATAACTAGGCTAGAGTTTATAAAAAGCTTACTGTACGATGGAAAGATCCGACGTTCTTTATTATTTGGACACCCGGCACCTAAATAAGTATATAAACAAAGTACCAGAACTCATATAGTACGTTCGGGAAATATCTGGAATTCTTTGAGAATAGTGCGGTGCGCAGCATTTTTGTATAAATAGAGAAGTTAAGTTTATAGACAAAAGTTAAAGATATAATTCGAATTGTTATATGGTTAAAGAGCAAAATTAAATTTTGGAGAAAAAGCAAGAAATCTTTACATTTGTATCAAAGCTTGAGTGACAGAATGAGGTTCTCATTATGTTAAAGTGATAATGTAACATGTATATCGAGAAATATCTCTTTGGATACATTAAAACAAGCTCAGTATAAACATAACATTATCTAAGATATAAAAATATAACTTGGATCAGTTTAGAGTTCTCCTAGTCATATAAATTAAATTATAAGTATGAAATATACATGAGTTTACCAGTTTTAATTAACCAAATATTCACGAATGTTTTAATATCTTAAATCACATCACGTGAGACATTAAATAAATAATATTAATGTTTGTTAAATTTGACAAACAAAGCTATTATTATTAACTAACAAAAATTAAAATAATGATTAAGTTAGTAAAAATGGAATAAATATAGGCATGAAATTTACATGGTTTTAGATATATTTCGTATTTTAATATTTATTTGCATTTATTAATACTTAATTATTCATAGGTGAAAATTTTGGATCAATTCAAAAGACTCTATGAAATACACGTAGACGAAAAATATTAAAATGTTTGCTGTTTATTATGAATTTTTGCGGAATACCTTTAATTGTGTATCAGTTACCACAATGATTACATACAAAATAAATTTATAATGCATAGTTTACGATTTTAGCCGTACTAGCTATACCAGACACACCGTTAATAAAACAATTCTACATCGTTTTTCTTTTCTTAGGATATGATAAAAAAATGCATTTTATTTGTAATCAAAAAGAAATTGTGAAGAATACAATTGGCTCTTACAGTTGAAGCTATTCGAGGTTCTTATCTTTCTAAACTATTACAGCTATTATAAAAAAAAACTTACCAAAACTTTGGAGATCTGCGGAGCTGGCGTTCTAGCCCTTTTGTCCAAGAGCAAATCGCTGGGACACCTTTCGAATATGAGCACCCTTTCGGCGACCGAACCACGCGTTAAAAATGGTCGCACCGGATTGGAAGCTGCAGACTGTCGCAGGTGCTGCCTTTGGGTAGTTGTCAGTTCTGGATGGGGTACCTATAGATAATTATATTTTGCTGAATGGACAACCTAACTTACAATAAATCAGCAACAGAACGTATGTTTCACTAGATGCATTACATTCGACAACTAATATATAGACAAAGTTAGAAGAGTATGGGGTAAATAAAAATACAGTGTGATCTACAGCATCAAGCACAAGAATATCCAATTTTAAGACGGTTGAAGATTTCAACCAGGTTTGCATCAGGTAGATATTACCCAATACGCGCTAAAGAAAATAGTTAAATTGCTATTAAGTTGAGTAAAACATTTATTTTTCTCAAGTGTTCCATTTATTATAGGGAATAGAACTAAAAGTCAATAATCATAGACTGTTATTTATTTCTTAATAATTAAAACTGTTAACAGAATAGTTTGCTTCTACCTAATGAAGGCCAAATAAACCGAAACCAGCTGTGGAATGACGAGCACTTTAGAAAGTATACAAAGTATACCTTTATTGCATAAAAAAGTTTGGTCACTTTGTGACGAAATCACTAAATTTTTATTTTTATTATTATGTTTATTTTGATTAGGACTAAATTTATTTATAAAATGTTTATTTTAATTAATTTCCGCTTGGGAACGTTTCCGTATTTTTGTTTCCTAGAAATTCCCGTTTTTAAACATTTGCGAGAGCTATCGTAGTTCAATATATATCTCAGTATTTACCGAAATTCGAATTCGGATTTAAACATTCAATTACATGTAAATTATCTAGGTATATTCAGCAGGTGTCAAAAGAATGTTTTTATTGCTTCCGCAAGTAAACATTAAAACTGGAGATGATATCTCCCACTCCGTACTACTGGTAGTTCGAACCAGTCTAATCGTGAGGTATAAATACAAAAGCCAAAAGGAGCTAAGTCTCAAAGAAACGGAACATGAAGAAAAGGAGAGGAACAAGGCAAAACCGGTCCAAAATAAAGACGGTGGGGCAAAAGGTCAAGGCCAAAAAACACCAGACTCCAGAAAGCCGGCCGCCCAAAGGACGAACGTCGCCAAGGGTAAAGAAGGCAAGAAGTCCGCCAAAGACCCCTCTACCAAAAGTGGCGGAAGCCCTCTCAAAAGGCCACAAAGCCCCGAGTCAGTTTCCCCAATGGAGGTAGAGGAAGGTCAAAGGGCAGATCTCTCGGCGCCTTCAACGAGCCACAGCGGGGCATAAAGGGTCTGCAGGCGAACGTCCACCATGCTAAGGCAGCGTCTGCCATATGTAGGACGTTCGACACGGAAGGCTTGGATATAGCCCTCCTGTAGGAACCTTGGCTTGTGTGTGGAAAGGTCGCGGGACTAAAACCACAACAAGGTAAGATATTGTACAGCAAAGGGAATGAGAAACCCCACGCTTGCATAATTTACAGCAACAGGGTTAATTGTACACTAATGCCGGTGCATTGCACTGGCGATTTTGTTACAGCTATGCTATCAATCCAAACGGAAGAGGCAGAGAAGAGCTATGCTGTATGCTCCGCCTACTTTCCGGGAGAGGAGAGAATATGCCCACCAGCAATACTAGGCAGAATCATTGCCCATTGCGAGAAGCAGAAACTCAACCTCATAATAGGATGCGATGCGAATGCACACCATACGATCTGGGTAAGCACCAACATCAATCCAAGAGGTGAGTCACTATTACAATTCATTTTAGGTGAAGGGTTAGAAATTGCCAATAAAGGCAACTAACCAACTTTTGTCACTGCCAACCGAAAAGAAGTTCTAGATATGACCATGTGTTCGAGAGGCACAAATGGCCAAATCAGGGACTGGCATGTGTCCGATGAACCATCGTGTTCAGATCACAGACATATCCGATTCCATATACAATGTCCAACTCGTACACGAGACAGGTTTAGAAATCCGAGAGAGGCGAATTGGGAAGGGTACACAAAATCCCTCGAGGAGTCTCTCAAGGAGGAAACCACCAATGTACAAGAAACAAAAACACTCGAAAAAACAGTAGACTTGGTAAACAAGGAAATTACTGATGCCTACCAAGAAAACTGTCCCGAAAAAGAGAGATCATTTTATTTCACTTTTATTTTTTGAAAATCTCTGATAATTTTTTTTTGGAGATTTGGTTAACAGCTGACGCAAGTGTTTTGCAGTGTTATCTATTCTACCCAATTTCCTTAAAAACCCGAATCATTTTCAAGTCAGAGCGACCTTAACCACACACAGTTTTTTTTTTCGGAACTTATTTTGTTTTGACGATCAAACCAGATTATACGAACTGCCCCTGTTCCTACAGAGTTTAGTACTCGTATTTCCCATCTGGAACCGTCCGTCTAATGTTTATCTGGGTTAATTTGATTTTTGATTTTTACTTTTTGTTTTAGATTTTTTTAAAACTTACAAATCGCTTGTGTAAAAATGGTCTCAGATAGAGGTTTAGATCACCGTGTATTTTTATTTGACTAGAATTACAAGAAAATATATATAAAACTGATTATTTACCCTTACCTGCTGTTCAGGTCGTCGAGAGTTACTGCGCAGGCCCCATTTTGTAGCTGCCGATGTCACAGTAGAAGTAGATATTGGTGCGATGATAGGTAACGAAGGTTCTACTAATTTCTCCGGAGGCGGTGGTTCTTTGGTAGAAGGCGGTTGTTTTATTGGCTGAAAAGAAAACTATTTGTATGGATAAAGCCGAAACTAAGTATCTGGTTTGAAAATTTACCGTAATATCCCTATTTAATTTTCCTAACGTCCGAACGGGTTCATCGCTAACGATTTCACCGTTTTTGAGAGCGTTTATAAGCCTTTTTTCCTCCAAAGCAACTTGATCAATTGTAACAGAAGACGGTTCCGGTTTGTGGTACCCGCCGGCGACACGCCCATCCCCACCGTCGCCGTTCAACTTTTTCACGTTCTGGTACCCGCCCCCGACGTGATTCTCCACGCCCGTCGTCGTTTTCTTCGCCGGTGTGTATCCGCCCCGCGCGTTGTTCTCCACGCCCACTACGTGATTCTCGCCCGCCGATTTTTTCACCGCGTCGGTATTTATGACGCGATTTTTGAGCGGCCACGTTTGTAGACCGCTTGTAATCAGATCCGGCGGTAACGTCATTTCGATGGTTTCGGTTAGACGAGGTTTCGGCGATATTTGAGGTTTTTGGCCGATAACTGGTTTGGCCTGGTGCTGAAACAAAGTACACAAATATTTTTTTATTATTTTCAAATTTCTGTTTAAATTGTTTTGTTTTAATTTCAATGTTTTGTTACACAAATTTTTGAATAATGGTTGTTCAAAAATTACAGTATTTTTTAACATATATTTCAGTTACTTTTTTATGATCCACTCCGTATAGTAAACATAAGAACAACGATATATTTTATTATTCAACATGTTCATTGCATTATCGAATTTAAAAATCTCACACAAATCAAAGCCAACCCTGGCAGATGCAAAAACACAGTTTAACGAATTTCAGGTTCCATGAAAAACATACTTTGCACACCTGCAGCATATTTACTATTCTTTAGCGCACAGAATATAGTTTTCTCACGTATAAAAAACTTAAGTAATTTAAATAGAAGTAGCAACTCTTTTTTACTCGTAAATATATATCATTCGCTTTAGTATGGATATATTTAAAAACAAATATATATATCCTTACGAAATGTGGTAAATTTTTGTTTATGAAAGACTAAAACCCTAAAACTGGTGGGGTTATTAATGTTAGAATGTGGTGAAAAGTTAATGAGAAGAGGAAGTGCCAATAACAAACCTTAACTCCTTATAATTTAATATCACCAATACGAAACTTTTGTTATTCAGTTCTTTTAGATCACCTCCAAATTATTACTTGCTTAAAATAGCTGTAGATATTCATCGCCGTGATATTCAGATCAGTCCCGATTAGCAAGACGATAGTTTTAATATTCGAGATTAAAATTTGATCATTAATCTTCATTACATTTTGATAAAATTGGGTTAATGAACATTGAGATAAGAGCCGAGTACGTATCTCGGAAAATAATCGGATAGTTGGGAAAGTGATTAAATAATACTGGTTTTTATTAGCTAAATTTAGAAGTCGTATGTACCAAAACTGGGGCATTTAATAGACTAGTCACTTTTTTTGGAAATTCCTATCTCAATAAAAAAAATATGTAGGTAAAGAAAAGTTGAAGAAGAATTTTAACTAAGAGAGACAGACAATAATATTTGAAAAACGTAAATAGTAATAGTAATTATTAATTTAATTTACTTAATTTAATTTACTTAATTTTAATAATAAAGTTGGTACGCCCATGTGCGCGGTCCCTTTGAAATCGGTACTAATCGGTTATTCTGCCGTGTTGGATTGTGTCTAGAATGACTATATTAGAGTACAGTGGACTGTAGTAGGTGACCGTAAATTAAAGTGAAGTAAGCAATAGTGGATATGAGTGAAGTAGGCGTCAGTGGATTGGAGTGAAGTAGGCGTCAGTGGATTGGAGTGAAGTAAGCGACGGTAGATTGGAGTAAGGCGAAAGTAGATTGAAGTAAAATAGGCGACAGTGGATTGGAGTGAAGTGGACGTAAACGGCATGATCAATGTTTTTTTCTGGAGTGTGCAGCCCACTTCGAATATATGTATTTCTGTAACGATTGTGGAACTCTGAATAAAAAGAGGTTATGTTATGGGACTCTATACCGTTATTAAATTGTTAACTGGTTGTAACGGAAAATGCGAATTTTAGGTTATGTAATGACTGTCAGACTAACTGAAATGGGGACCCGTTCCGAAAGAGCCCCAATTTGCTTTGCGGAAGCCAAAGAGATACCTAATTTGTGGAGGCCGTGTCCGGTCCAAATAGAGGTTATTTATTTTTTATTGAAATACAATCAATTTTAGATAACTATGCCATTATTTTGACACATTAGATGCAAACTTTTTGACAGTAACCAAATTCGTAAAAACTATGACTTATGAGGAGCATCATTGAACAAAAATAATCATAATTCCTGAATTTAAAATTGTTGACACTTTTGCCTTTGCTGAAATGTAGTTTTAGGAAAATACGATTTCTTCTGGACCTAGTAGTTTTTTAAGAAAATGCCTGCAAGTCCTTTGTTGTCTAAATTTTTTTAACCAAAATTGGAAATCCTTGAAATAATATACCAGACCATTAAATTAAATAATCAATTCAAAATCTGCACTACATTATGTTTTAGTCCCATGACAGGAGCAATCAAAAATGCTGCATTAATTAGATTGTTTTTCTTCCAAATATCACATTAAATAGCCCTATTTCTAAGTTTTTAATAAGACTTAAATCTTGTGTTTTTATACATAATAAAGCTATTAGTTTTTTCATGGATTAAATATTTTTTACAGACATATCTCGAAGCAGCTCTGAAAACTTTAATGCTATTTTAATATTTTTTAAGACTGTGCTACTTTACTTTTACGGCAGATATATTTTTAAAAAGGAAAATACACTTAGGAAATGAATAAAATTTTCACCCAACCATTATGGGATTCAAAGCGAGTAACAAGAATATTTCTCTTTTTCACATTCATTGTTACTAAACGGCTTTACGACTTTCTAGCACGCAATTCACTTGTTTTCGTGTTAGAAATTTCGAAATTTTCGTATAAGTAACAATAAAAGCAATCTGATACGTTGCTGTTTCAACTGATCAGAGGCGGCACTCAAAGAGATACAAATCACTAAAATTAGTAATAGGTTTGTTCAAACTACCACTCTAATTAATTGGTATTATTGGTTATTTGACAATAACGTCAAAATATAGATTAATTTTCTAGTTAAAAGATTCCTGAAACTTAACAAAATATACAGGGTGTCATAAAATTCGAGTGCAAGTTCCTGTTGCCAAATTCGAAAACTATAATAAATTGATAATAAATTCATAAAAAATTCATAATAAATTCATAATAAATTCATAATAAATTCATAATAAATTCATAATAAATTCATAATAAATTTATAATAAATTCATAATAAATTCATAATAAATTCATAATAAATTCATAATAAATTCATAATAAATTCATAATAAATTCATAATAAATTCATAATAAATTCATAATAAATTCATAATAAATTCATAATAAATTCATAATAAATTCATAATAAATTCATAATAAATTCATAATAAATTCATAATAAATTCATAATAAATTCATAATAAATTCATAATAAATTCATAATTCAGAATAAATGAAAAAAATACAGTTTGTCAACTACAGGATCTTTAATTAAAGCTTACACGCGCTTTCGATTTTAAAACATGAGCCTATTATTAAAAAAATATTTTAAAATGGAAATGACTAATAGACCTTATTTAGTACCTAGATCTAGAAAAATCTTTAGAAGTTGTTGATTCTTCCTAGCAATTATTTGGATATTTATTGATATTATTCGGGAATTTTCTATGGGCATTCCTCGATAGTCCAAGTATGATCTGGGTATTCCCAGAAATACCTAGGTATTTTTGATGTTAGATATATTTCTGTTTGCTAGATGTATATACCTTTAATAATTTTCTTTAATATCACTATTAATATTATTAATTCTGCGATATATTTCACTTTTTAAAATTTTATCTTACTTTTGGAACGAATTAATAAATGTATATATAAAAGAATGTTGTCAATTAAAATTATTTTTCATTTAAATAAACAATTTAGGTTTGTTTTTATCCTATCGAAATATCTAGAACACACTTTCAGAACGCCACTGCCTCCGTCCATCGCCATTGGTTTAATGAAGACGAATAGCCAACAACTGCGATGTTATGAAAATGATGATTAGATTGCGGATTTTGCTGCAATTTCTAATATGTAATAGTTTTATGGCGTTAACTGATTCACCGCCGAATTAATTGGCTGCCAGATCACTTTAATCACAATTTAATGAGAATCGACAGACTCAACAATGTTAATTTTGACAAGGATCGAAATACGGTTGAAAGGGGCATCCAAAAATAACAGCAATCGACCTATTTTTAATTATACTACCGTTCAAAATTAACGCTGAATTTTAGATAAATCCAATTTTTTTTGCAAGAAGATTAAATGCAGCATTTGTAAGTGCAGTCCTGTCTAAAATGTTCCAATTGAAACAATATATCAGCCCATTTGCCCTCCAAAATAGTTGACATCCTTTCCTCAGAGCTGAAGAACGAAGAAAGTATTACAAAATGAGAAGAAAGTACAAAGAACGTTTTAAAAAAGATTTTGAAGAACAAAAGATACATATTCTGAAACTTCTGAAGAGTAAAATAGATTTCTGAATTCTCATCAGGAGAATAACTATCAGATTTTAATATCAATAATATAGATCAAATAAATGAAACATTATTTTCTGAAAAAATATTGGTTTTCATTGGTAATTCTCCATTTTGTATAGTAGTTGTCCTTTTTAAAACTAAATAACTAACTACGTTACAATGATTTTAATCACAAAAAAAAAATACAATAAAACAACGAAATATCCACACAGTAATTTATTAAATTAGACTTTAACCTTTAACATTAAATTAAATTCTTATTACACCATCAATTATATAATTTAATGTCGTCTCGACTATAATTAAATGAAGATTATTTTTTATAAGTACGATATAAATTATCAAATGGAACCTGAGCCAGCCAATCGTAAAAAAAACCATAAATAATGTCCGTGTTTAATATATGCTTCCCTAGATTTTTTCTTACCCAGGTAATTATGTTACTGCGTTGACCTAAATATCGTAGTTTAATAGGAAGAGAACGTCTACATGTGTGACTTGAGAACTAATTTACTATCCATCTGTGAGAAATCATTATAATTTTTTGTTCGTTAATTCATTTCACTTTCAATTTCAAAAAGTTTTTTTTTATATATATATATTTACGAAGGAAAACTTAAAAGTTTATTATTATTATTATTATTCCGAAGTCCGATAGAATATAAAATTTTAGGATCACTTTGTATATTAAACTCTATAACTAAAATTTCTAATTAATGATAAAATAAAAAATCGAAAAAAAGACTACTGGGAATATTAAAATAAAATTTATTTTAGGCTAAAGTTAGTTAAAATTTAAAAGTAATTTAATTGAATTATGATGAAGAATATAATAGAGGTAATTACCTACCAAATACATTACATTAAAATATTTTTTAATATACGGGGCGAGAAAAAAACATCTCAATTTTAATCTAATAAAACATCAATATTTTTAATTTTTTTTATTGACAGGTTTTTGATAAAAATGAGTTACGATATTTAGTGTAACGATTGATGTTGTTTCTTTTTAATATACGGGGTGAAAAAAAAAACATTTTAATTTTGTTCTAATAAAACATCAATATTTTTTAATTTTTTTTTATTGACTGGTGTTTGAAGTTTTTGATAAAAATGACAGTTACGTTATTTGATGTAAACAAAATTGGTTTATGAGCAGTCTAACTTCTTCAGGAGTTAGAATCTATTTTAAATCAATTACAGTTATCAAGATATGTGCGCAACTTGTCGTTTCTAAAAAATACTGATTTAAGTGTTTATGTTATGATTTTTATTCCTAAAAATATTATTATGGATAAATTCCAATTCCACGAAAAAGAAATAGCAAATTATGTTACCCACCTGAACAGAATTGTTGGTCGTTGCATAACTATTCACCCCTACTCCCGGAACAGTTCCCCCATTCATCCCCCCCACTCCACCATTACTCGCACCCCCACTACCGATTTTTCTTCCTGGTAACGTCGCCGTTTTCCTAAGATAACTACCCCCACTGCCACTATCACTCAGCCCCACTCCACCGTCCGTCTGGCTGACTCCTTTTTCGAACTTCTGCAACGCGTACTGGATACTGGAAGGCATCTTGCCGGACGGTGACGTCACCGGCGATAATTTGTTTCGGGCCGCGGCTATTCGAGCTTTGTCTTCATCGACGAAGTTCTTCACGAGCTTCTCCAGCCTGTTGTTGTCCATGGTGGGCGCCTGCGCCAATATGTCCAAGGAGGCTGGTTTCGATGGAGGCTGAGGCTTCAGCATCGACCTGGAACAATTAAAAATTATTTTAGAAGATCGTACTGTACGACGCGACAATCTATTGACGTCAAAATTTTAGTAACAACAGGTTATTGAGCATACCAAACAGAGCAAGAAGTCTCATACAGGGTATATAATAATATCTTGCGAGTTAATTTTAACCTTCAAAGCTAATTGCGCTTTGTCCAAGGCGATTTACAGATGATTAACGGATGGAATTTGACTTATAGGTGAAAAAAACCCGGGTAACCTCATCCACCATCATTAAAACGGTAACGCACGACGATTTATTATCTTTATTTCATATCAATAGAAATTAAATTACTGCTAATACGGCATCCATCAAATCCTACAAACAAATCATAATTGCGCTACCAAGAGGATTATGTATGTACATTATTAGCGACAATAATTTTAAAGCGGGTTAAAGGGTACTTAACATGTTTGGTGTTTGATTCTTCTCGACTACAGCAAGGCATTTGATACCCTAGATCATAACTTTCAAAAAACGCGATCTCCCTCATATTAAATAACCTTGTTGATGGCATCTATAATATAATTTTGGAAGGTTACGAATCAAATTTTCTACCAGTAATCCAAGAGGTTATACAGGAATCAATTTTGGGACCCAATGTAATTGTTTTGTACATTTTTGACTTCCAAACCTTTATTCAAAAATTACATTTATTTTCATTAAAAATGAGCTTTTTTATGTTCAGAGCGAACCTGGGGTTTTGAGAAAATAGAAAATGTTTTAAGGGTTTGTACTAGAGCGACCGAATCATACGCTTTTTTGAAGACAATTGTATAACTCATTATATTGGGGCATTCCTGATGAGGCATGCTTTTGCTCAAAACGATGTAAAGTCTCCGAGTCTAATTTTTTACTCAAAATTAAAAATACTAAAAAATTCCATTGATTTATGGGTACATTCAAATTTTTAAGAACTCAGAAACCAAAAATGATGTCAACTGGAAACTTTTAGCAAAAGTCAAGCTCTATAAAAGTACGAAGGGGGATTAAGGGTGGTTAAAATAAAAAATCAAGCATATTGATTAAAAAAAAAAACTGAATAAACATGAGGTGTTAAAAAAGGTTGGAATATTAAAAAAATCCTAACTCAAAAACGAAAAATGATATCAACTTAAAATTTCTAGCAATAATCAAGTTCTATCAGGAGAAGAAGTCCTTTGATTTTGAAAAAAAAATTTGAATAAAATGAGGGTTAAGGGGGTTAAAATTAAAAAAAAATATTAATCAAAAACCAAAAGCGATATCAAAATTAAATGTTTAGGTAAAAACAAGGATTAAAAGGGGGACTGGGGGGAGAGTCTATTAAACTGTGAATAGTATAATATAGAATGCCAGGCATATAAATCTTCTTTGTAGTTATTCTATTGTTCTGTTTGTTTTAAATAAAATAATTTTATCGGTTTTAAGTAATTTTTAAAATCACATTTTTTTGAAATGATTTTTTTTTAATTTTACCCATTTTTCGTTTTTAAATATGTTATAAACATGTAAAAAAAAAATAAAATCTTTCAAATCTTTCATTAAAACATTATTATTAATTTTAAAATCCTCGTGGAGATATATCCTTATTTTTATTAAGCTGTCAGTAGAAAATATATATTTTGTCTTAAAGTATCAAGCTGATTCAATTTAAAATATAAGCCCATGACTTTGAAGTAAATTTTTGATTTCACCCTGTATAGTTACAAGGGTGGCGCAACGAATAAAAATATTTGCTTTGACTCCTTCTAGCATAATTCAATTTTTTTGACAAAAATAATTATTATTACTAATGTTGCACTTATACTGACGCATTTAATTTTAAAACTGGCTGTATTGTAAATTGAATGATGTTTTCAAAAAAGAAAAACTCATAAATTAATTAATAAACACACATCTAAAATCCATTAATCATTTTCTATTACTATACACTACAATTTCTAACATATTAAAGGAATGTAGACAAGATAAGACTAGGACGAGACCCACCATGTTCCATCTCATCTTAGAGAGCATCGCCTGCGGTGCGCCACGTCACAAAAAAGTTAGGTTATGACCGACACGCATCTTCTTCTATTTCTAAACTTCCGACACACACATACACACAATTCACGAATGTATAGGACACTTTAAAACCGATCAAAAAATCTATTTTTAAGCGAATTCGGTTTATGGACAGAAACGGTTGCCGTACAGGTGAAAAAATTGCCGAATTAAAACCGGAAAATCGTCGGAAAAACGGAGATTTTCGTTGAGAAAAGTCGCGATGCGAGACAGAAGATGTATTCTGGAAGATATAGGTGACTAGGAAACGACGAGTCTCGAATCAGGATGGCCGAAACTAAAATAAAACATGTGGGATATCGCCGTTATGAAAATAGTATGTGGGCTAGATCGGGAAAAAATTCAACGTCAGTAAACTTCATCTAACGAATTGGAAAGGAACCGAAAAATGTATTAACAAAGTTAACTTACGATTAAAATGTTTTTTAACAATTAATTAATGGACCCCCACTATTCCAAGAGAGGTTCCAGGCCGATATAACAATACCATTTTTAGAATATTTTTTTTAATAAAAGGCTCAAATACTGAAAGGGATCGTATTTAATTCCGTCCCCGTTGAATGGCAATATAAAGCGTTCACCTGTTCTATCGCTTTTGGAAATTGAAAATTCCAGGAACGAAAGTCGTGCATGCGTTGGAACAGAAGCAGAGAATCATCGTCATAGGAACGGGAATTGATTATTAAATATCAGTGATTGAACGTGGAGAGAATGGAAGGTCCGTCATTGTTAAAAGGTGTAGGTTTTTGTTAGTTTTATTTGTGATAAAAATGTAAGTGCCTTTTTAAATCAATTATTATATTTCAATTACTTTTATATTATTTAACTAGTTGATGGTTCACTATTTAGATTTGAATTTCACTGTTATAAGTAATTTCATGCTTTTTCTTGACAGCATTTTTTGGATCTGTCATAAAAAATTGCTTGCATTCCAATAACGAGTTTATTTGGTTTTATTACTTATTTTACTATCTAAATCAGTGAAAAATAGCATGTTTTTAATATTTTACTTTAAATATTTTTGAAGTTTATTGATATTTAGTAGTTATACCAAGGAAAATTTGCTCATTTTTAAAGTTCGGCAAGGGAAAAGTAATATTATATTAGTAAATTATGTGTTTTTCTAACATCAGATATTCACAGCATTGGCAGATCTAAGTTAAAAGTATAAAATGCCTTGTTGATTGATACTAACATTTTCGCCCGTGGCTGGGACAACATCGGGATAGGTGTCTCGGTAACACCCTATTTTGTCACCAGAATATTCAACTCTAGGTGGGTAGTAAAGCTGTAGAGCTTCCCCATTACCTTGTCCCTACTAACCCTTCTTCAGTTTTGCATCGAGTGTGTTTGAACCTAGTAATGCAATGTTTGTTATCTGATGAGTTATTGTTCTTAAAATATTTATTTTATTTTTGCCTTGCAGTATTAGATATTGTTTTTTTTTTTATATAATGTATTGAATATTATTTCATATATTTTCCTGTGTTTAACTCAAATTGAATATTATTTCATATATTTTCCTGTGTTTAACTAAATCATCAAGTAATTAAATGTGTTTTTTTTTATATATATATACTTAATTTGTCATTTGTATCCAAATTGACGTTTGATTGGTTTTATTGTATTTATTATAACTTTGGGGTTTTCTTGCTGGTTCTTTCCCCTCATTTGATAAATTAATTATTTTTTTTTATTGAACCGAACCAGACCTATATTTAATCTTTATAAATATATTTTATATACTTATAAATTTTTACATTCTGATTCTGTCATCTATAATATTTTCAATAAAGATTAGATATAAATCAATAGATGTTTTCTTTTAACCTTTACCACTCCCTCAATAACACGTAAGTAGCCAATAGATAACGAATCTTTCAGTCTGTCACTCGTGGTGTCCTAGTCACTTTATATTCGATCACGCCGCCACTTTATTTATCATACTTTTATAAGAGAGAGATATTAGTTAAGTTGTCTCTCTTTATTTCAGTTGGTTACACTACAATACTGTAAGAATTTTAACCTCGGGAAGGACCATGGTCCCACCCCTCTGCATCCGCCGTTGCACTATTCTTATGCAAACAAAAATAGTGTTAGATTTTTTGCTTCACAAATTTTCTGCCTCAGTTACATAGATCATATATTTCTCATAAATTTAAATTCAAAGTATTTCTTTTTTATTTATTTTTTTTATTTTGACATTTTACGAACTCTTCGTTTCAACCTCGTAACAGCATTGACCTTGATCGAGGTAATCTAAATTGCCTTTAGTAGATCGTAAAATTTTCTCCCGAAACATGATAAAACTTATTCGACAGACGTCGATATCTACATGTAACCGTTTCGTGCATGTTTACGAAAGCCGTTAAGTCAGGAAATCGACCATGATGTGTTTTCCTCTTCATAAGTTGATTGATACCTCCGTTAATTTCCCTCGAGGGAAAAGCGAATGACTTTTTCATGTCCAAAGTGGAAAGAGGGTGAAAACTTAGATATAACAGACATTAAGAAATTAAATATTGACAGTATCATTGAGGTCCAAGAGAAAAAATATTTATAATTCGACAAGCTATATATCTCTTTATTTTTATTATTGGTCTTATCTGTCTAATTTTGAGACTAAATTGACGCATTTCAAAAAATAAAATTTTAGTTAAGAGTTCATATATTTCGTTACTGTTTTTACAATAGGGTATAACTCATTCTTTGTCGTTTTTGAGTTATGGGGAAAAGTGTGTTTCGGCATATCTCAGTCGAGACGAATTATTATTTTTACAAGGGCTCAACTCAAGATAGGCCCTTTTGAGAAAACATCAACTAAATTTAATATCTGCGTCACATAAGGGCATCTTAATTTAATACAAAAAAAAACTAAATAAATAAAGTTTTAATTCCTCTACGACTTTTTTCTTCAAAATATTGGTTTT